TTCCGGATCTTAAACCTCTGTAACCACCCAGAGGAAGCAGTAAAGGGTTTGGGCTCTGAAGTTCCCATCTTTCGTGCCACTGCCATGTACAGTTCACGTGCGTAGTCCTTCACAGAGCGCGTGTCGACCGCCATGTTGCGTCGCGCCTGACGCACCAAGTACCTCACAAGTAATTTTTCTGTCTTGAGAAGCACCCGGTTGTGAAAATACTTGATCATAGAAGCACCTGTAGACTTTGTGATCTTCATGTGCTCCTTTATCTTGGCTGAATCCTTCTTTATAGTCCGGATCGTAGATTCGTTGACGCCATGCTGGCGCGCGAGATCAACTTGCCGTGTTCCTTTCTCCAAATCTTGAATAATTTGGTACTTCACCTCGTAGCTTAAGGAACGTCGTGTCCTCTTTGGCTTAGTGCCGCTGGGTCCAGGTAAGGAAAGGTTTTTCTCTGGGGGTGGTGGTCCGGCGGAAGCCATTTTACGGAACAATGGATGCGCGATAACACGGAGTGGCCTTGAGGGATGAAACTGTCGCGGCTAGGTCAAGCGTCGTCTCTCCTCCCTCCCTCCCTGCCCCGGGTGGACACGTCATAATACTTTAAGCCAATTACAGCTAGCAGCAGAGGAGGGTAGGGATGCATGGCCAATCACAGGTCTGATACGTCATATGACGTCAGTGATAACGCAACAAAGACACACTGCGCAACCTTACCGCGCCGCTTGCCCAAGCGGAGGGAGGAGGAGGAGGGAGGAGGAGGGAGAGGCAGGCAGGCGGGTGGCGCGTGGCGCAAATCTAAAAATAGCGTCGCGCCGGACACTCTCCGCGTAATGGCGTTCGCGACCGCGAAATGTGAAAATGTTAGGTTCTGGCAAGGCACCGCGGTAACGGTGAAACGCGGATTGCGGGACCGCTTAATGTGAGGACCAACTGTATATATATATATATATATATATATATATATATATATATATATATATATATATATATATATATATATATATATATATATATATATATATATATATATATATATATATATATATATATATCATCATCACGTGAAACATATTTCTAGCCTTTCTTTAAATTAATGATTAAAAAAGTGTCCATAAGGGATGATAAAAGGATATTAATACAATATTCAGTTACAGGCATAATTCCATTCTACATCTCAGATTTGTTTAATGTACAGTACATAATCATGTAAAGGCAGTGGACACATTGGACACTTTTCCTCCCAACATGTTGGGCAAATATGGTCCGGCCAGCAAAACAAAGACACATTTGCGTCACACTGGGATGTTTTGCTGGCACGTCTGCCCAACGCAACAAAAACAACAGCTTAGCAACTAAACGAGATTTGCCATGGATCCCGTTACTACAGCTGAGGCCTTGCAGGATTGTGCTATAATTCTTCAATTGCTGAAGCAAGTGAGGCATCTGCAAAAGCTAAAGAAAAGACAATAGGTGTGTTGTGAAGTTTGTTTCCAAGTGGCAGCGGTTGGCTGGTCAAAGAAGACGAATATATAGAAACATGTCACCGTTTTAAGTGTTATATTTTAAATTATTATTGTTTTATGATTTATTTAAATTTTACTTGAATATTCAACAACTAATATGAAGCTCATTTGAGCTTTCTGTCCAGCAAATGTCGCCGCCAAACCGTTGTCCATTTCTCGCAACAGCCAAAATCCTGCTGCTTGCTGGGCCGTCGGCCAGCACCCAGCAAAATGGGCAACATGTTCAGAGGAAAGTGCCCAGTGTGCCACCACCTTAAAGCTGCACTAATATGTTGAGCAAGTTAGCTCACACCGCAGCAGCTAGTGAAGTACAATAGTATATACTATGCGTGTATATATTAAAGAATGACATAATGGCTTTCAGTCATAGAATACAGTACTGTACCAATAATGTCTTTAACAATGAGCTGTGACAAAAACAAGCAAGAACTAACACAGTTGTGAAAGTCTACATCACCATTATTTACCCATACAATACAGTGTATATGAGATATGCTATGTATATATACAAGTGACTCTGTAGACCATCTGCCCTGACAGTGAATGGTCGTGGGTTCAACTGTTGAGTCAGGTTCCCTACTTGTGCATTTCAAAATAAGTGTCTACATTTTTTAGTGCATGTGCTAATAGTAAAAAAAAAAAAACTCGAGTGGACTGACGTACTATCACAGGTGAAGCAACCCACTAGCTGCTGCCTGCTAAGAATCAGAAAATCACCACCTGTCCAGTGTCCAGCCACCCAACATTACAGCGAAAAAAGCTTGGATTGCATTAATTAAATACTGTATACATAAACGTGTGTATTATATTCATGAAATAAATGCAATTCTTTTATTCATAAAAATTACAAATATCCTGTAGCTGTAAGATAAAAGTTTTACTCATTCTACAGAATTATAGTTAACATCCTTCACACTGTCTGTTTGCCACAGTTTATAGGGTAGCAGCTCCTATGTGAGAAGGGTTACCATAGCCCAGGGTGGTTCAGTACCTGGCAGTCAACTCAAGTGTCTGCTGCAGCCAAATAACACTTCAACTTACTTGGCTATGGTCTGACTGGGAGTACACAGTACTATTAATTAAGCCATGGAGTCGTACTGGTTGCTACTTCTCCTTGTTCTCCCACCATCTGTTATACAAGAGGTGCCAGCCCACAGTACAGGATGTAACTAGCATATGCTACATATTGAGTGAGACACAAGATGCATTGATGGTATGCAAGACCAAAAATTCAAACACCGAGATCATTCTGACACACAACACAGTCATCATAAAAGTGAATCACCTCATCTTTAACACTAACATCCACTTGTAAAAACTTTGAAGAATCTGTAACTTCTTCCTGACCTTTACTGCTCTCTGACCTGAGGTTCTCTCCTGTGATAAACACACTCTTATCAGCAAGAGCATCACCTGTTGGGTTAAAAATCACACTGATTGTTGGGGAAGAAATTATATTTTGTGAGTCACTTTCTTCTTGGCTGGTTTTATCTGGAGTTCCAACTGCCACAACGTGACGTTTCATATGACTTTTGTATATGTGTCGCTGGCTAAAGTTACGACTACACACTTCACACACGTATGGTCTCTCTCCAGTGTGAACCCTCATGTGTCTCCGCAGAGCTGAATTCTGGGCAAACCTCTTCCCACACTCTTTACATTCAAGTGGCTTTTCACCGGTGTGAACCATGAAGTGGTTTTTTAGTTTTGCACTCTCTGTGAAGCATGCACTACATAATGAACACACAAATGGCTTATCACCTGTGTGGAGCCTCATGTGCCTCTTAAGGTCACTGTTCTTAAGGAATCCTTTACCACATTCATTACAGATGAAGTTCTTTTCCCCAAAATGAGTTTTAGTATGATACTTCAAATCACTCTTCTTAATAAAGGCTTTATTACATTCTTTGCATTTAAATGGTCTTTCTCCTGTATGATGTCTCATGTGCACAGTTAGTTTTACTCTTTCTATAAATCCTAATCCACAAACTTCACACACAAAGGGTCGTTCACCGGTATGAATCATTGTATGTCTCTTCAGATCACTATTCTTGGCAAAAGTCTTTCCACAGTCAATACATTCATATGGTTTCTCACTTGTCTGAAGCTGCTCTTGTAGTTCTGATGACTCCATGATGTGTTTACTCTCTGATAAGTGTCTCGATGATGCTTCAAGATGTTTCCTGTAAGAATAATCTAAAAATAATTTAAACCCAGAGAAAGTTGAATGAAGATACTGTACAGTACTGTACTATCTCAGCAAATAATACCTATCAAAAGCTTATTAAAATTAATTAAACAGGCCAACTAAAATTTATTTATCTATATTCTCTTCACTGTTCCCCACTAACCTCAAAGATGGTCATTATAATATTCAACTGGCACTTCAAAGAACTGTTTACCAGGTCGTATCTTGTAAAATATTTGCCACTAGCAAGTTACACACCTACTGATGACTTGGTGTATTCCATAGTGTATCAAAATTATAGTCAATATCAAAATTATAGTCAGGGGTCAATATTCTAACAAATGACCAAAAGTAAATGAAATATGGTAGCTATATGTGGCACATCAAGCAAACTGTAAAATGCCCATGATAATGTTCTGGTCATGTTGTTTGTAGGTTAGGTTAGGTTACTCGGCTGAGAACTGCAAAAATTTAATTAAGCTTCACACTGAACTGAACCTAATCTAACCCATACACAATATACAGTACATAAAATGGAACATTTTCACAGGTATTTTACAGATTGCTTGGTTTGACACACTGACTGTAACATATACAGTACAGTTGGTTCCACTCCTGCATTTACCACTTACCTTGGCCAATGCTCTCTCTCCCTGAGGTGTGAACCCCGAACTCTTAAGTGTTAATTCGAAGCATTCGCTAGTGAACAGGAGGGTGGTGTCTTTCTAGGAGGCGGAGGGAGATGGGATACTGGGGGCGAGGACGTGTATATCAAATGGGAGAGATTCCAATGTGGGATAAAGCTTTGACAATACTGACGGGGTTTCCTCAGAGAGAGAGAGAGAGAGAGAGAACTGGCAACATTAAGTGGTAAATGCAGGAGTGGAGCCAATTGTACTTCAAAAAGTATTAAAAACATTCAATTGTGTGAAAGATTAGCCCCACAGCATATTTCACCTTAAGATTAACCACCGATACTAATATAACATAACCTAACCTAACCTGAACATAAATTAACTACCCTAATGCAAACATAATATAACCTAACCCAACATAACTTAATCTAACCTAACAAAACTGAACCTACTTTAACCTAACAAAACTGAACCTACTCTAACCTAACAAAAATGAACCTACTGTAACCTAACCCCCAGATATCATTATGATGTTTAATCGTCAGTTTATTAAAGTTACATTTATGGGAATATACATTTATAATATACAGTATTAGAGCCAATATTTTCTCAGCACATTACAAAACAGTAAACAAAGGAAAACTTACCAAACTAGAATGAGACATTTAGTGGCCATGTGGGTTTGTTTATCCATTACAAGTATCCCTCGCTATCAGTTATCAGCTCTCTCTCTCTCTCTCTGTGTATATATATATATATATATATATATATATATATATATATATATATATATATATATATATATATATATATATATATATATATATATATATATATATATATATATATACACTGTATATATAACATGCATGCATACAAAACAAGAGCATGCAGTCGTGAAAAAAAAATCCTGGTTTATTTTAATACAGTACTAATTACAAAATTAACATAATGGATACAGGTAGTAATTTTTAAGTACAGTATTGCAAAACAACATTTGGAAAAAAATGAAAGAGAGCTGTGACTCCTATACCGTAAGTGATAACTGTTCTAGAAGCTATGAAAATACTTAAAATAAGATTTGGAAATACACAAGAAAAAGATCAAATTTAAGAACTGGCTATATTAATGCATGCATATACTCTGTACACGGAAAATAAAACATTATCTTAAATTGATTTGTAGCATAAAGAAGACAAATGTCAAAAGACAGTCTCAAAGTAATGAAAAATTTCCTGGTAACATAATTAATAAATAAAAAACTAATCTAATCTACTATCAACTTATAAAGCTTTTGTGAAGTAGCAGAAACACTCTACTTCAAAATTAATGTTGCTTACTTTCTTTCCAGCAAACTTTTCCATCAGTTCATGATAGCACATATCCTTGGATAGCTTTATATAAGTTTGAGTTTAGAGAAACTTTGCTACCCTGATACCACTGTGACTGTCAACAAAATCCTATACAGATACTGTATAAGCAATTTCTGTATGAGGGCAGGAACCATTGAGAAAATTTAGAAACTGGAGGACTTAAAGTGCATTTTTTGTTTCTTTGAGAATGAGTTCTCAGAGTACTCCAAGCTCTAAAAACAACTCGGCTTTGTCAATATTGTTTGAATTTCCAACAATCAATGACTTGTCCAAAGTAGAGTTGTGCTCAGCTAGTTACTGCACAGCCGCTATAATACGTGTTAGAAACGATCGCCAAAGTTCCTTTTCTTTATTCAAGTCTTGTAACGTGTGTGTATATATGGTATTCATTGAACACAACCTTCTTTTCACTTCCATCCATTTGGTTAAGGTAGAACCAATGTTTATTTGATGACTCATGAGATTTAAGTTTTTCACTAAAATGCTTCCAATCAGCACAGCCTTTTTTTACAAGTTTACGTGTGGCATTTGAACTGTATAATTAAATACCAGGAGAGCGTGAGGCCCCTGGAAATGCGAGGACCGGGGCCCCGACTCGCCACCGCCCTCCCAGGACGGCTCTACTCGCTATACACCAGTGTTGTAAAAAGTACTTAAGTAAAAGTTTAGCCTGAACAATTGGTGCAGAGAACTTCCGGGAATGAGATTTCCAGGTGACCAGACGACTCTCTCAAAGCCGGAAAAAATCCTTCATTCCCGGAAATTTTCCAGGTAACAGAAAAATTTTCTCAGAAGTTCCAGAAATTGCACATTACATCATCTCTTAAACCGGGAAAATAATCTTCCATCCCCGGAATTTTTTGGGGACCAGAAAATTTTTCTCAGAATTTCCAGAAAATGCACCTAATTTTCATACAGTACTGTGCATATGTCAAACCCGGAAAAAAGCTTCCCCGTCCCCAGAATTTTCCAAGTACTGGGAAAATTTTCTCAAAATTTTCTAGAAAATGTGCTGCCCAGAAAGTTATTCCTAAAGTCAAAATTTTCCGGAAAATTATGGCTTTGGGAACGATTTTCCGAGAATATTTAAATTCCGGCTATCATAGAGTTCCGGTTAGGAAGGAGTCTGGCTAACGGAGAGATTACCGTATTGTTACATTGGCAAAATGTTACTAAAGTAGAAGTAAAAGTAACCAAAGTTAAAAAAAACTCAAGTACTATAAGTAAAAAAGTACCTCATTCATAAAGTACTCAAGTACTGAAAGTAAAAAGTAACAACAAAATTATTGTCCCAAATATTAAAATAAATCCACAGTATATTAAAAAAAATAAAAAAATAATTAACTAAAGATAAAAATAAGACATAGCATTACACATGTTTATCGGCAAATTTTTCTATTGAGAATTATTAACCGATTCTCAAAATTATGGCTGTTCAAACAGGTTCCTTTAGGCCAAAATATAGGCCCAGCATGACCAAACAGACACTCACAAGTAGCAGATGCAGGTACTGAGGTGTTAACCTAGAGAGATAAGTCACAATGTTGGGAAAGACATAAGTAGCTCCATGCCAAGTAGCGATCAAACTCCTTCAGTTGAGGAATTTGTGGATGAATGTTGATTCCGTAGCACCCAACAAAGAAATGGCTTGAGCGCCTAAACTCTGTGTTTGTTGCTTGGGTACAGAGATGAAATGATATGAAAGAATGCATGTGATTGGTCCATATGTGAATTAATGCTTGTGATCGGTTAGTTTCTAAGTTTGTCCTATGTCTTGTGATTGGATATTTAAAACTATTGTTTGGGGCATGTAGCGAGTTATGATTTATTTTTATTTGTCAATTATATTGGAGTAAAAGTACAGTATTCAAAAACCATACTTAAGTAAAAGTACTGAAAAATTTTAGTACTTTTTAAAAAGTAAATACTGTACCCAAAAATGTTAGTTGAGTACAGAACTCAAGTAAATTTACTTAGTTACTTTACAACTCTGCTATACACCTAGGTTAAGTTCCTTGAAAATCATTTGTTATGTGAATATTTGTACTGTATAGCAAATAACACAACATATGGGAGAAATAGAGTTCAGTTCCCAAATGACAAGAAAATCCCAATATTATACATAGAAAATATGAATCACTCCACAAAAGAAAAAATTTACCTAAGTACTGTACAGGTACTGTAAATTACAGTAGTACCTAACACATTAAAATATTAATAAAGTACTGTACAAACCAGGTATGTACATTACCTTATGGGACCATCATTTATAGAAGTGAGAATAGCTTTTGTAGTGTGAGAAAGAGGTGTAAGAATAGAATACAGTACGGTATTTGTATAAGTGAATATTCGTAAAGTGAACATTTGTATAGTAAGGGATATCTTACACAACTTTCAATGTTAAGTGTATTTTGTGAACTACTGTATATCCTGGTATTGTACAGTGTTTCATAGGTGACACATGATAGTAAAATTAATATGTCTCTTTTTTCCTTTTCAGGTGAGGGAATCATAATAAACCAACAGAAATGACAGAGAAATTAACACTAGAGGAAAGACAGTTCAGTATTCATGCATGGAAAGTCAGATGCTACATACCGATCCGTTGTAAAAGAATTTAATCAACAAGAGTCATTTGCATTTGTCTTTCCTTACATGAATACAGTTACTCCCCGGATTATGGATTTCTGACTTTATTGATACTCTCCCATTAATCCTATTTAAATGAGCGCCAAGTAATTCCCGGGCTGAGCGGGGATATTTCCAATTACACACTATAGTGATATCTCCGTTAGCTAGAACTATTGGTGCAGAGCACTTCCAGGAATTAAATATTTCTGGGTAACGGTGACGACTCTCTCAAACCCGGAAAAAATCCCCCATCCCTGGAATTTTCCCGGTAACGAAAAAATGTTCTTGAAAGTTCCAAAAATTATGCATTACTTCATCTTTCGAACCAGGAAAGAAATACCCCACCCCGGAATTTTTCCAGATACTGGAATTTTCTCAGAAGTTTCCAGAATGAGGCATTATTTCATCTCTCAAAGACGGAAAAATATCCCCCATCCCCGGAATTTTGGGTAGATACAAGAAATTTTCTTAATTTTTTTATTTAGTTACATGCACATTCCATCTTATATACAGCAAATAACAAAAAAAAATAGTGCTGTACTATAATAAAAAATATACCAGAATAAAAAAGATACCAGTACCCTGTATAATTATCATTGGGATAAAGTATTTTTAACTCGTAATTTTGGACACGTATACTGTACTAGTATCCCCCGATTTATGATATCCATGTTTACAATATTTTTCTTGAACAATGGTGATGTATTAACACCACTCCCCTATTTATGATAAAAAAATTAACATGAACGATGGTCATCTTCTGGCCCAAACCGCTGATGTGTGGAATATGGAACACATCTCTCGCTTTTCATGTACAATTGTGAACGAAGTCCTGTCACCTTTCTGTTATTCCATGAACCCCGAAATTCAGACTCGTGAATCCAAAGCATTTATGGACACAATAATGCATCAGTGTCTACTGCTTCGGGTTTACAAGTCTGAATCTTGAGGTTCATGGAGCGACACAAGAGGCAACAGGACTTTTGTTCACGACTGTACAGCATCTTTTCGGGTTCCTTGTATAAAATTTGATTCAGTTTTAAGACCTAGGCTGCTACTGGTACAATTACATTACTAGAGAAGAGCATTTATTATTTAAATGAACTTAAAATTAATGGATTGAGTACCAAAACGATGAAAAAAGAAGGAATTTATTTAGAAAGTGTTAAGTTACGCGACCTCCATGCCTTTAGCGGTTTGAAGAATAACAACCACCAATAACCAATATCTGGTTTTTGTCAGAATAAACTAGTTTGTTCTGGCTAAAGTCAAGTATTTGTACAGTGATGGTTAGTTTTCATTCCTCGAGTCATATCAAAGCAACATGCATACTGTATACCATTCAACACCACAACCACATCCCGCCCATATGAGCACATACTGATCACTATAAAAACAGCCCAGTCCCAACCATTGTAAAAAATATCAACAACTCGTAGTCAACCAGTGTGTTCACTCCCAGTCAATCTTACCTTGTTTCACTGTTACTATCTTGAAATGCCCTACAGTATGACCTTCTCCCCACCTTGTTATTATATACAGGGGGTCCTCATTATAAGTGGTTTCGCACTTCGATGGCCAAATAATTGTGGACCTACACGTAAAAAGTCCTCGCAGTTAAGAGGATTCTAAGGCTGAAATCTGTCAATCTTTGGGAGCACAAGTTTTTGAGCAATTGAAATTCTCGCCCGCCTCCCATCTCTTAAGGGTCATCCTTCTCACTCGCACTATGCATGCTCAGTACCAGTCACCTGTGTCCACAGGCATTATTTTGAAGTGCTCCAAGAACTATAATTATCAACTTTGTGTCTTTGGTGGATTATTTTTGTAGCCATCAGTTCTAAACTAAAGCAAGGTGGTGTAGTGACTAGGGGTTGGACGTGAAATTAGAACTTACATGTTGTAAGAAAAGTGGTGAACATGTCTCAATGAACTACTTTCACTGAAATGAGTGTGTGGTTAAGTTTCTTGCACCGCATCATCACACTGACCCCAAACGACTTTAAATACCTTAAATAAGCTGTAATATTTAATCATTTCATAAAATAATGTGTAATCAAATGTTTAACAATAATTCTAAGGTATTTATATAAATGTTAAAAGATACCAAATTAAGCTTTATGAGAGTCACTTACAATGTGATGGTCCCTATGAGACCCTATTCCTATTAATTCTTTTGGGAATTAATTCCCCTTTATAAGTGGTTTCATTATAAGTGGCTTTTTTCTGATCCCTATTAACCACTTATATTTGTATCACTTATGTTACTTGTATATTATTTGTCAGTCAAGTGACCCATTCCCCAATTATGTAACTGCATATTTTCAGCCTTCTGGCTGCCATGCTCTCTCAATAAACTGTTAATTATTAATTATAAAGTATTATTATAAACTCGCTACCATACTTGCACAATGGTTAAAAAAAAGTTTTCTTTAGAAATTATTAAAAAAACAAAAACAATTTAGATTTACCATTAAAAGTTAAGTATAATGCAGTAATTCCCATTAAAAAAAGAAAAAACTCAAAACAGTTACCTGCATACTCTACTACATAAGAGCCTTTGATAACATTTTCTCCAATTTCTGTAAAAACTAATGCCATAATAATCAAAAGTTAATCCAATTACCCAAAAAACAACTTACACATTTATTGAAACTTTTTAATGAGGGAGATCAACGAGAGACTGATAGCTGAGGTGGAGATACATCAAGGTACACCTCTAGGGTTCAGCCTCCAGCTCTTCCAGGCAGTGTGCTATGTGGTGGTCCAGCCTGGTAGTCGTCCTAGTAGTTTTAGTGGTCTTGGTATTAGTAGTGGTCTTGGTATTAGTAGTGGTTTTGGTAGTGGTATTGGTCTTGGTAGTGGTACTGGTCTTGGTAGTGGTGCTGGTAGTGATCTTGGTAGTGATGGTAGTCTTGGTAGTGGTGCTGGTCCTGGTAGTAGTAGTGGTCTTGGTAGTGGTGGTAGTCTTGGTAGTGGTCTTGGTAGTGGTACTGGTCTTGGTAGTGGTCTTAGCAGTTGTCTTAGTAGTGGTCTTGGTAGTAGTAGTGGTATTGGTAGTGGTCTTGGTAGTAGTAGTGGTTTTTGTAGTGGTAGTGGTCTTGGTAGTGGTCTTAGTAGTAGTAGTGGTCTTAGCAGTTGTCTTAGTAGTGGTCTTGGTAGTAGTAGTGGTCTTGGTAGTGTTCCTGGTAGTGGTCTTGGTAGTGGTAGTGGTCTTGGTAGTTGTAGTGGTCTTGGTAGTGCTCCTGGTAGTGGTCTTGGTACTGGTAGTGGTCTTGATAGTGGTAGTGGTCTTGGTAGTTGTAGTCTTGGTAGTTGTAGTGGTCTTGGTAGTGCTCCTGGTAGTGGTCTGGTAGTGCTCCTGGTAGTGGTCTTGGTACTGGTAGTGTCTTGATAGTGGTAGTGGTCTTGGTAGTTGTAGTAGTTCGGTAGTTGTAGTGGTCTTGGTAGTTGTAGTGGTCTTGGTAGTAGTAGTGGTCTTGGTAGTGTCTTGGTAGTAGTAGTGTCTTGGTAGTGTTCCTGGTAGGTAGTGGTCTTGGTAGTGGTCAGGTAGTGGTAGTGTAGTGGTCTGGTAGTTGGTAGTGGTCTTGGTAGTAGTGGTCTTGGTAGTAGTAGTGGTCTTGGTAGCAGTAGTGGTCTTGGTAGTGTTCCTGGTAGTGGTCTTGGTACTGGTAGTGGTAGTGGTACTGGTAGTGGTCTTGATAGTGGTAGTGGTCTTGGTAGTGGTCTTGATAGTGGTCTTGGTACTGGTAGTGGTCTTGATAGTAGTAGTGGTCTTGGTAGTAGTAGTGGTCTTGGTACTGGTAGTGGTCCTGATAGTAGTAGTGGTCTTGGTAGTAGTAGTGGTCTTGGTACTGGTAGTGGTCTTGATAGTAGTAGTGGTCCTGGTAGTGGTCTTGATAGTGGTAGTGGTCCTGGTAATGGTTCTGGTTGTGGTTTTGATAGTGGTATTGGTAATAGTCTTGGTAGTGGTCTTGGTACTGGTAAGTGGTCTTTGTAATGGTACTGGTCTCTGCACTGGTATTGGACTTGGTAGTGGAACCGATTTTGCTGCTAGTCCTTCTAATAGTTCTGGACCTAATAATGGTTCTGGTAGGGTTATTAATAGTGGCTTTGGTGGGGGTACTGATAGTGGTATTGGTCCAGGTACTGGCCCTGGTAATACTATTAGTTCTGGTAGTGGTACTGGCCCTGATAATAATAATGATCCTGGTAGTTGGTATTGGATCTGGTAGTAGGCTGGTACTGGTCCTGACCCTGGTATTAATACTGGTCCTGACCCTGGTATTAATACTGGTCCTGGTAGTGGTACTGGCCCTGATAATACTAGTCCTGGTTGTTGGTACTGGACCTGGTAGTAGGCTGGTACTGGCCCTGATAATGATACTGATCCTGGTAGTGGTACTGGACCTGGTAGTAGGCTGGTACTGGCCCTGATAATGATACTGATCCTGGTAGTGGTACTGGACCTGGTAGTAGGCTGGTACTGGCCCTGATAATGATACTGGTCCTGGTAGTAGGCTGGTACAGGGTGGGTCACTCAGTCCGCCTCACCACTAACTATGACAACTTACTACATGTCGTTGTAAACATATAGGACAAGCCATTATACATCTTATAATAAAAAAGTTGACTTATATTACAACGTATCCACTAATTTAGACTTACTATATATACTTAAACGACTCCATTCCAGCAATCAGATGTAAGTAGAAGTTTGTTTACTAATGTCCTAATGTTTTGTTTACACTTGGGAAGTAACTAACCGGTTCATGTTAAGGAAGAACCACAGATATGATTCCTAAACTAATTATTAATTTTATACTATAATAGAATATATATGAAAAAAATATAATGTATTAATTTTTATATAATATTGTGGTTTAGAAAGTATTTGATCTTTTTTTATATTATTTGATTATTTTGTATTTAAAAGATTTTGTTCGTAGTATATAAATAACATTAATTCATTTGTTAGTAGATCGATCGTATAATAAAATCCGGATTGAGTCACTGAACGGCCGTATACCTAGACAATCCCCGTCTTGTTTTATTAATAAAGATGCTGCTTTATAATGTATAATAATTCTGCCTTTCTTGTTTGGTCTCTTAAATATTTGGTATTATTTCAGGTGAATATTTGTCCAGTGGCTGTTCTCAGGTTTTGGCACGAGAATAGGTTTTATATGTTTTTCGGTTTGTTTTACTCACATTTGACATTCATTTCTTTTGCAAATCAGCGGTTTTAGCAAAATATTAGATTTATATTTTAACTCAGATAATTTGCACAAAAATGGATGTCAAGTTTGAGTAAAACCACCAAAAAACAAGGAACCAACCAACTTACCTAACCTAACCTAACCTAACCTAACCTAATCAACTAGGTGGAGACAACGGACTTAAGTGAGAAGTATAACCTCAGGTAAACATGGTGGGAACCTGTGGACAGCCAATGGACGGATATTAACCTTATTTCACTTGTTGCAACTAAATGAATCTCTGGAATTATATAGTTTCAACGAGGAATTTAGACAATTCAAAAACACTTCTTCAATGGCATTTCTCTCACTGATTATGTATACTGTAAGTGAAATATTTATTATTTAATAATGAATTAATATTTATCTTTCACTTATTGCCATTAAACGATTCTCGGAATTTTTATTGCTGAAATCGGTAATTTTGACAATTCTAGGACACTTCAATATAATTTCTGACGTTGATTACGTATAAGTAAAATATTTATCATTTTATTGTGTATGTTCATAAGTGGCGGTACACACCCAGAAGATAGAACGACTGTGGAGCTCCCCTGGTTAGGCTAAGTTAGGCGTTTTGTTTTGTTTTGTTTTTTACGGGGAATAACCCACCCGGGCACACATCATCGACCCACAATGGGGCCTTGGGGACGAAAAAATAGAAAAGAAAAAGGTTATGTTAATCTACACCATGATGATGCCAGAAAACCAGCCTTTTAAAGTGAGACAGATTGCATGAGTATGTGAAGGAACAGAACCCTGTGGGACACCACTATTGGTAGAGAAAGAGTGAGAGTTCGATTCCTCGATAACAACTGCCATGGATCGGTTCTCAAGGAAGCTAGAAATTAGAGAACAAAGTGGGGGAGAGAAACCATAAGAGGGAAGTTTAGAAAGCAAAGACTTGTGCCAGACCCTGTCAAATGCTTTGGAGATGCCGAGGGCCACGACAAAAGTTTCCCCATAATCCCTAAGAGAGGATGACCCAAAGATGGGTGTAGTAGGAGAGTAGATCACCAATAGATCTCGCCTGGTGAAAGCCATACTGGTGATCCGACAAAAGAAAATGGCGTTCAAGGTGACGGAGAAAATGAGAGTTCAAGATAGTTTCGAAAATCTTAGAGAGGGATGAAGTTAGGGCAATGGGGCGACAATTAGAGGGATTAGAATGGTCACCCTTCTTCGGGATGGGCTGAACCAGGGCATGCTTCCAAGAAGAAGGAAAAGTTTGGGTTTTGAGGCAGAGGCCAAAGAGGTGAGCAAGCACAGGGACCAGAGCTTCAGCACACTCCCTCAGAACACGGAGTGGGTATTCCGTCCGGTCCATGCGCCTTACTCACATCCAACCTGGATAACACACCGGCAACCCTGCGAGTGGAGATTATAGGAAAGTGCATAGGTTCAGTAGGAGGAGCAGGAGGAGGGATAGAGTTGGAATCGTCTAAGATGGAGTTAGAGGACAATAAGGTGTCAAAGAGATTAGCTTTATCAGGGGGAGAGTTGGCTATAGAGTTATCAGGTCAGAAGTGAGGAGAAAAAGAGGGAGTACAGAAGTTATTACAGATGTTTTTGGTTAAGGACCAGAAGGATTTACTAGATGAAGAATTAGTCAGGACAGCGGTCTTTCTTTTTATAAAATTCCGCTTGGCCCTACGAAGAATAACCGAACACCGATTCCTAGAAGTAATGAAAGAGGTGTGGGTAATAGGAGGAGATAGTTTCATAACTTGATACGCCCTATCTCTCTCCCTACAGGCAAGAGAACAGGAGCGATCAAACCATGATTGTAAGGGGAAGGTTTTGGTAGGAGATGGGATAAATGTACTCACACCACCCAGTATAATGCAAGTAATGCTGTCAGCACATACCGAGGCGTCCTGAGTGGAAAAGCAACATTCAACCGAAGGAAAGTCGGTGAAAAATTCTTGCAAGGATTGCCAGTTTGCCCACTGATAGTGCCATAGTTGACGTTTAGAGGGGGGGGGGGAGGTGGTCGTGCCCAGTTTGATTTAATAGAAATACGATTGTGATCAGAAGACCTTAAGGGGGCAGAAATTGAGTATGAATAGATGTGAGGGGTTAGAGGTAAAACAAAGATCAAGAATGTTAGCAAGGTGATCGTGTTGATCAGGAACGCGTGTAGGGTTTCTAATTATTTGTTCCAGATCATTATGTAAGGAAAAGGAGAGTGCCTCATGCTCTACCTGGGTTATCTCTTGCAGAGCCAAGCTTTTCTCTGTGATGTACATTGAAATCCCCTAGGTAAAGGATCTGTGTTGAGGTGTGTGGAGGGCAACAACTCATGGCAAGAGGTGAGATACTCAAAGAGTTCTAAATAGTTGGTAGAGTTGGGAGAAGAGTATAGGAAACAAAGGAAAATAGACAGTAGTTGGTAGACATATTTTGAGCCAGATGACATCATAAAAGGAAGATTCAAGATCAGTGAGTCGAGCTATAGGTTTACGTGTGTTGTAATAGGCTCATACACCTCCCTTACAACGGAAAGAGGTATAAAAGTTGTGGTTGGAGACTTGAAAAGGTTTGGGTGAAGCTGCTTTGGTCAGTTGAAGTTCGGAAAGTAGTAAGAGGTCGGAGGAAGAGGTTAATAGATGGTGCTCCACAGAAGGAAAATTGGATCTCAGGCCGCGAATGTTTGAAAAATGAAGTGTGAAAAAAGCCAATCCTCCAGCAACTGTTGTGGCGTTAGTTGAGGCCCCAGTAGTTTGATGATGATCAGGTCGGCCCTGGGGTTCACAACCTTCCCGACTAGTGGGATCCATCCGAGAAGGCCCCACTTTAATATTATTGTCAACTGAAATCATATGAGAAAAAAATAGAAAGTATATAACAGATTAAGAGTGAGTACGGTTATATATGCTGTGTTGTCAATAGTAAGAGAGACAATTGAGACCCTACAATTGTGTGTAAATGTGGCAGAAAGACAGATGAGCAACCTGGGACTTGGTCACAATTTTTGTGATGCCATATGGAAGCAGGGACTACCATTAGACAGCACATTATTAGATTAAAAAATTAAGGTCAAATTCGTTCATAACACATCAAAAACCAACGGAAAACATAGTTTCAACTCCAATTTCGTATACCTGTACTATACTGTTGTGGCAACTGGTGAAAATTTACCAAATATTCCTTAAATTAAGCATTAATATTTTTGGCCATTTAAAGAAATAAAATAATGCACAAATATTACTATACTATGTCAACAACTGGATCCCTTATTGTATACTATACAGTATTTTTATTATCACTACTGTATAATATTATAATTTTGATGTATAAATTTTTATTCTTTTGCATTCTTGTGATGACTATTATGCACAGTGCAGTATTACAATACTTAGTTTGGCTTTTAGTGAGAGTAAATCATACATTGTGTATTTTTGTACAGTTAGTATTGGCAAATTATATTGATGGCATTTCTTGAAACTATACCATGTGAAAAACACACAACACCTGTATATACATTATACCATACTCTACCATATGATGTGACTTTATACAGTGGTCCCTCGGTTAACGAGATTTCGGTTAACGAGTTACCTTCCATAAGATTCTTAACTTCGATTAACGAGCAATCCCTCGATTAACGAGTTTCTTATGAGCCGACCTGAACATGTTTTCGCTTGCATTTGGCGGTCCACCAGCTGTAGTATTAGTCCGCCAATACAGTAATCGGTTCTAGGGCTTAAATTCCTTACCATTTTAGCAAATATCAAGAAGTTTATACTATTCAATAATTTTAAAATTTTAATATTAAATTTTTTAGTCATTTTAACAATTATTGAACATAATTGAAGGTAATGAAACCAGTTTTATGCGCGCCATCCAGCCTCTCAACACACCATACAGGCGTCAGTCTTTGTGTCTTTTCAGTGGAGGTAACATCTTGCTTGAGACTCTCTTCAACTAAATGCTTTTTTCTGTGTTTACAAGCAAATTATTGGTCATTTTGAAATTTATTTTACATATTGACAATATATAATACAGTGCAGTGTTGATTTAAAGAAAATAATCTTGAATTACACCAAGAGAACTAAAATTTTATGGGTGAAATGGCACCATGGGGTGACTTCTCTTCCACCCCAATGCCTTCTCTTCTCCCTTCTCCTCCACCCCCATTCTAATTCCCATCATCATCATCATCATCCAGGAGCCTTCCAGGAGTCTTCTACATACACATCTCAAAGTAAGTGTACTTTTCTACCTTTTTTGTTGACTTTCGTCAATTTTCGGTGAGCTGGAACCAATTACCCAAAAACCCATTGAAACAATGGTTTTGGTTAACGAGTTTTTCGGTTAACGAGCAACCTTCTAGAACGGATTGTGCTCGTTAACCGAGGGACCACTGTATATCTTTATTATACCATTAAACTTATTTAAAAATTGATAGATTTACACTGAATGTTGTTTTCTTTTTTTGTGGGATAATTTGATATTTTGGGTTAATCCAATGAATCCAGAGTTCCAATGATATTGAATTAGGCTTTGAGGATTCAGTGTATGAATGATTAGGGCACCCTGTACTGTATATGGCTTTCAGAAAATGGTGAGTGGAGGGAGTTGTATGAAGCAATGGGAATACCTATTTACCTTATGGCCACCCAGAAAAGGTGTAGGTAAGTAAGTACACTATGGTGGGAGAAGGACAGACAACAGTGCTCTTACTGCCACCCATTCTGCATCATAGAGTTAAAAGGTTCACTAGAATGAAGAAAAAAAAGAGAGAAAGAAAAGAAAAAACAGTTTGGGCAATTAGTTTTGTAAAATATACCAAGACCTTTTACCTCATAGACACAGATTGGATCATTACTTCATGTCTACAGTTTGGGTAAGTAAGAAAACATTATACAGATTTATAATTTGTTTTTAATTAACTGTATATTTTTTTGCAGTCTTTCTCGTACAATGGTATAATTCCACTGTCTAATCTTCTTTTTTACTAAATATCATGATGTCTGAGAAAGAGGTTTTAATATGATGCATAAAAGACAATAATTGTATTTACATCAGGTACTCTTACTCATTGTCCTCCTAACACAGGTACTGCTTGGCCATAGCACGTAAGAACCTGTGCTTGCGGACTTTGGCTGCTTCCCTCTGGATCTCATCGTTGTTGTTAGAGTTCACCTCAAGGAGACCCATCATTGTCAACTAGTGGAATAAATCACAAGGAAATAAAAGTTATATGCTGCACTTGGAGATAAAACAACATATGGCAGTTTATCCTATACATCATCATTCTTACCATCATCATTACCATCATTAAGTATATACAGTACTCATATGTAAATAAATTCTCACTCGACATGGCAATCAGATACAGAAACATGAAAGAGAGATCCAAAGAAAACAAGGAAATCAGTTTAGATTTGTAAGTGTGGCAATAAAAATGCTTGGCCAGAATTCTGCTCAAATTACTCTTATCTTGATGGAGAACCCTGCTTCAAGAGTCACGTATGATGAAAACAGATGCAGGTAATGATGAGACACACATATGAGCAACCCTCACTGAAGAACTTAAGATAACTTAAGGAAAGACTTTAAATGTTAAGTCTGTTGAGGTTACAGGAAGATATGAGAGAGCACTGTATGAGTTTGGTGAAGTCAGAGGAAGATATGGCTGAGAAGTATGAATAATTAAGGTTACAGACAGAAAGACAAGCACAAGATGTAACTAACAGCCTTATCCCTGCGTTGTATCTCTCCACGCTTTTGGTGCATGTTGATGATGAACTCAATGAGGGAAACATCCCACAGGCAGCTGTAGTAAGCATCCATGGCATCCACCGAGTTTCTTTCCTGAAGGCATCGTAGTGCTGTGCTGTAGTCAATGGACTCTAAGAACTGGCACAAGATGGCTGCCTGCAGGAAGAAATGGTCCCTCTCAGAAAATGTAATCAAAATTTCAATTAAAAAGATGACTAAAATAATCCTTGTTACAACCTCATCCTGTGAATAAAAGGTGACTGAAGCTTGTTGTCTGTAGAAGTAGCTGTGTGTAGAATTATACACTCTATGTAGAACTATAGTACTGTAATTCAATGTAGAATTGGTTGGTACATAGAAATGTCTGTACTGTACATAAGAATGGGTCATAAGTGGTGGTGGTATAATCCATGTAATGACATACCTGAGTATAACAGTTGAGATTCATGCAACATCGAACCATTCTTCTGATAATACTGTCATTTAACACAGACTGATCTACTCCGGTATCATTTCTGAGGAAGTCTGTCGCAACAAACACAGCAGTCAGGTAGCCGGCCAGGGCACTGTAGTACTGGTCGCTCATGTAGGCAAGGTCAGCCTTCGACAAGTGCCAAGAGGTACACAGTGCTGTACTTGTCTGTTGAAGAAAAAGTAACAGATTTTTGTGTGTAATAATAAAATCATACTATATTGTACTGTACAGCAAGTCAGGGACTCTTAACTGAACTGTACTCTATTTCATCATCTGTTTAATGAGACCATCATATACATTGATCCTTTTTGCACTTTATAGCCGAGTTGGCATAAACATGAAACTATAACGTCAGTAACTCCTACTGAATAGAGTTTATAGGACACACTCCCTCAGTTCAATTCACAAACATTAAGTTGGTCTGATCTTATACTCAACATGCTTCAGACTTCTCCAGTGTCACTTTCCTCTTTCATTATTTAGTTGCATATCTCTTTAAAATTTTTTAAATCTGATGAAATTACTGTATTTTGATTAAGAAATTGTAATACAGGTATACAGGATATCTCATTGGTTCAAGCAATGTAGGAAATTTTTTCTTCTATTTCAGATGAAGGAATCATTACAAATCAACAAAAGTGGCAGATATAATATTCCTATAGAAATAAGGACACCCAGGCATATATAGGGTCTTGTTGATAAGATTCTTTTGCAACTGTTTGGTGTGCAGCATCTCACTTTCCATACATGGATTCTAAACTAACTTCTTCCTCTAGTGTTAATTTCTTTGCCATCTTCCTTGATTTGTTACGATTCCCTCAAAAAATAAAATAATAATCTTTTCCTATGGTGCACAACTTATGAGGTACTGTAAAAATAGACAATAATTTTTTTATTCAAGAACCTTAAATGATTAATGTATTTTAGGATGTGCAATAAACATGAACCTAAAAATCTGACTTTTTCCTACTGATCTTTAGGTTCCTGTTTATTGCACATCCTGAAATACAGTAATCATTTAAGCTTCTTTGGAAAAAATGGCCTTGTACTGTACTGTATCCACATATTGTATATTGCATAAAATGAAAACAAAATATACTGTAACTTACATGTGTTGCTGTAGGGTATAATCTGGTTGCATGATTCACCACCCAGGTTAGTGTGTCTTTGACTGTCTCTATGTGTACGGTGCTGTAAATCAAGAAGCAGTAACTAGAGTACTTGTTTTACGTCGATACAGAATTAATTCTCTATGCCGAAATCCACTATACAGGTATCACTTGTTTAACGATGGGGATATGTTACTGAAACCTAATGTTAAGTGAAATTATCGCAAAATGAGGGAGAGTGAGGAATAATGCCCATGAAGATGGCATGTTGTCATTGTTACATGTAATGAACTATAAAAGTTGTGAAATAATCATTACAAAACTCTAACGAGGCTTAGAAATAAAGAAAATAATACTGTATATAAAATTAGAAAATAAGAAAACTCAAGAGCATAGATGAGTGTGTGTGTGACAAGTGATTGTATGCATGGGCTTGTGGAGGCAGTGGACTGTAATTGCACTCAGTAGCACTAAGAGTGGGTTAGGCTGACCTGTGAACTATGTTATGGTTATTGTTCAACTCATAATTTTGGAAAGATACACATAATTAAATATTTAATTGTTTTACTCTGTTACATGCACACACAATCATTCAAACAAACTAAAAAAAATAAAAGAAAATAATTATTATAAGGTGAAAAACGTAAAGGGAATAAACATTTCTTATGTGTACAGGAGTTTGCACATAGATCTCGGGAGGTACAGTATACACGTGACACAACACAGTTCAGCCGGGTAGTCGCCCAGCTGACTCAAGAGATGTGTGTGACTGTTGTCTGTATATACCATAATGTCACAGAAGGAGAGGAGAGTGAGGCTGATTGCAGTTACAGCTCACTGCCTCATATACACCCCGTCAGTAAATGATATTCGCTGTTTTGGCAATTCACGACCATTTTGAGACCTAAACCCCTGCAAATTTTAATGGCATGCTGTATTCAAATATGTAAGATGACTTGACATTTTTTTCATAATGCTTACACTTCAGAGCAAAATGTCCTAATGAAAGATTCTCTACATTGTTACTCCATAAATTATCTGATTTCCAACAAGTTCAGCTACACAAAAGAATTACACCAATGAAAAAAGCGACAACACGACCACTCACTCACTAACTAACAGCGGCCACATGGCAAGATGGTCGATGTGGACTTCGCTATTAGGTTCCTGGGTCAGGATGTTTAACACGTGTCCCAGGAGTGAGATGATGATGGAAAGACAACTTGGTTCTCTTATGTTCTCCAGAAAATCTAGGAATGCAGATCGGCTCATAACAACTGTTGACAGGAAAAAGATATTAGTGTATGTGGAGTCCAAGTTTTCAATAAATATTTAGGCAGAAGATCCCAAAGAGAACTTGAAATAGTTAGGGATGAGGGAAGCTGTAGTTTATTTAAGGTAAATTAAGGAACAAATACCAAACTGCAGAGTATGAACAACACCAACTATGGGTGATGATATGAATGAAAATATGTTTAGAGACTAATTAAAGTTGCATTAATAACTCTCCTGTGATCTTATAATTCCATATTAACATTTTTATTCCAGGAAATATTTTACCTGACCCACATATCCCCCAAATCAGTTGAATTACTCAGTGACTGTACAAGCTGAAAACACTGTATAGGGATGACATGTGACACACGACTCTCAATAAATAAAGTTTAAGGATCACCTGTATATTAAACACCTCAGTTTAACCATCCTAATCCTTACCTATCCTAATTTACCCCTGCCCCCCCAGGTAGTATTAGGGTGGTTATTCTTCAAGTGAAATGAGGTAGGGTGTCTGTAATCTTGAGGTAATCAAAATTTAAGATACATAAAAGTGCCTAACTGTATGGCAGGCAAAATAACTACATATGGCTTTTACCAATACAAAAGTTAGAACTATTTTATTTCATCATGTAAATAATAAACCAACTGTTTAATTTGTATATGCTATCTATATAATTATACTAATATCAACAAACACTGTAACATTCTGATCATACAGCACAGTGATACAAGGGGCACACCCATATAGCTGTACATGTCACCACTCCAGAAATAAAATACTGTACTGTCTCCATTTGGTAGTTAAAATAATATTAAGTTTATGAAGATATTGCCAAAGGAGATTTAAGTTGGTGCGTAGAAATAAAGGCTCCCATCTACCTGAGTCATGGTGTCGCTCAATGGGCGTAGACTGGCCAGAGCTGGACCGTTTGTGTTGCATACTGTTCACCAATATTCCAACCACTGAGGAGAGAAACTCATTATGTATCACTAAGGTGGCTTTATTTCTCCTCCCTCCTCAAGACAGGTGGAGAAGATGAAGTCTTAATTCTAAATATTAATGACAAATATAATGAGGACACAGTATTAAGATGCTTTAATACTAATCTATAATTTTTGTATTCCTGTTTCACTTTAGTGTGGGATGGATCAAGGAAAACAAACACCTTAAAACTGCCTGCATGATGATTAGAATAGAACATCACAAGAGCTGAAACAATGAGTGGCGAGTGGAGTACTTCTGCACTCCACTCGTCCGCATGTACACACACACACTCTATGGAGTGAAGGCATATATATATTTGGCACCTCCAGGCTGCCAGGGCCAGACTGTTGGTCCTCTTCCCTCATTTCCTCCCCAGCAGGATTATCAACAACCTCCCACCAACGTACAGTGCAAAGATTGACTATCAACCAACAACTAATATACAAAAGTGACAATTTCAACTCAAAAGACAGGAAATAATTATCAGACAGTAACAATCAGTGCTCTGCGGTCAATGGTCACCTGATAGGGACCTCACACATCCAGGGCTCACCATACACAAAGAAACAGGTATTAGCACAACACACTAATGTGGATGCTAATGTAACAACACACCTTGGGTATGTCCGTAATTTTCTGACCGAGCTAAAAAAATCTGGTCAAAGAGAATACCATAATTCAGGTGAAGTTCAATGTCACAGTAACCAATATCTCAGAGATCATACAATACAAGATACAGTTAGTACAGTAACTTACCAACATCCCACAGGTCGTACCAAACACCCTTGTTGGTGTGTTTCTCCCTCAAGGCGTGAGCTGTTGCTGCCAGAGGCTTCACCAAGGCCAGCAGGTAGAGGTGAGAGGGTAGAGACACTCCACCCAGTAGACTGTTCCACTCACCAGCATTAAGCAGGAGGAGGATACACCTGATGGTGAGCAAAATCATCATGATCACAGTACAGTATAAGTGTAGATTCATGCAATCTTTTCTCCATAACAAGCACCACAGGGTGAGAACAGACACAGTTAAATCTATTCATTAAGTTGTCCTGGCCAAACACTGACCGTATTTAAAGCAAGATATTTTGAATAGCCTGAGAAAGATTAGAGTGGAGGACTGTGGTTGCTAACCCTAAGAGATGAGGATGGTATATTTTGAATCATTCTAGATTTTATGATACATGGAGGAAAAACAATCCATGGCTGGGAATTCCACAAGGTGCTACTATGAGGTATAAATTAATTTTAGTAAATAGAAGTTCTGTAACTATGAATACAGATAGACAAGACATGAAGCAAATTACTTTCATCATTGCATATATAAAAAATAATTATGTTATTACAATATTAAATTTACATATATTACATCATGTGTTATTGTGACTACAAGTTGACAATCCCTTATCCGAAATCCTTGGGGCCAGATGTGTTTCTAATTTCGGAATTATTCAGATTTCAGAATGTTTAAGTTAGGGTTTATATATCTTTATATTTTTATTATTTTTTTTTTTTACAAGGAATAGCCCACCCGGGCACAGGTCACTGATCCACATCAGGGCCCGGGGGGTAATAATAATAATAATAATAATAATAATAATAATAATAATAATAATAATAATAATAATAATTCATTGGTCTAGGTCGTGTTTCTTACTTTTGATCTGTTTTTAATTTTTCCATTTTCATATTATTATTTTATTATTATAACTATTATTATTAATATTGCTATTATCATTTTTGTTATTATTATTATTATCATTATTATTTTATTCTTGCGTACAGTTATTTTTATTAAATTTTTTATTTACTTTGAATTATTATTATTATTATGCAAGCATGTTTTGTGAGATGTGGCAACTCTGTAGAATGCTTCTCTAGCATCCTTACTCTAACTAACTATTGTGAGGTTCCTTAGGGCCATTCAGGGAGTGTTAACATGATATAAACAACCATAGACTTGCCTTCCCAAATGAGCCAGCTATTGTACCAGGTATAAATGCAGGCAACTGTTCCCGTGAACAGGAACTACACTTATAACTGAAGTCAGGTCAAGACTCAAAAAGACTCTACACTGTAATTCTCTTCTTTAAATAACGTGATGAAAATGTATCTACTTAAGGTAGTATGAGTGCAATTGTAATTCTTGTTTGGATGTTACTTTAGTAGTTCATCTCAAATGTGTTGTGACATCTCTAGTTATGTGGATAATTTAAAGCAAAACTTCTGAGTCTGGGCCTTGATATAAATGACAGATTAACAGTAAATTGTGTTACTGTACTGGCAAGATATTTAATGTGAAAATATTCTTCACTTTAACAGGTTAAATTAAAATCTGAGAAGTGAAAATAGAAGGAATGTTTCACAATCATGTGACTTAATCAAGGGTGGTCAATGCCCTAAGGAAAACTAACCTCTTTTGCCTGGTCACTGCCACCCCAAAAATTGTGTTAAATGGCATAAAGGTGTTTTTAACTATACTGCACTGTATGAGTAACAAAGCTTATGTAAAGTTAAATGAAGAAAGAGAATTAACATTGACTTTACCAATTATTGACACCGGTCCAAGGAGCTATCCCATCTCTCCCGCTGTGGGCGCTCAAACACTGCCGAGCTTCATTCGTTAGTTCACTCATAACAGAATCTGTGAACAAAAATCAATCACAAATTCCTTATTTTACTACTTAGAAAGAAAACAGTTGAAGAAGACAAGTACGGTATTGTACTTGAAGCCTTTACTATCCTACTATACAAAGTTACAATACAATCAATGGACTCTTACTCCAGGAAGATGAGTTACATGGATCTTAACATGGACAGCAAATAATGACAGACACCTGCACACAAAATTTCCATTGCCCAACAGACCCTAATGGGGACCCAGAGTAGGAATTAACAGCCAATAATAATAACTAGATCTTTGTATGTTTACTTATTAAGCCATTGTTATGCTTGAAATCACTGTAAAGGGAGTTTACAGTATGGCAAAAAAAAAAAACACACACAAACAATCTACTCTGGGCATGGAGGGACAGTGCTGAATCTGCCATCATTGTAGACTAATTTTATGCACGCACACACAGGAACACCAAGACTAATAACCTTAAAAAATTAACTTACTGTCCACACAAGGTAAATCATACAGGCAGTGTTGTATCTTAGACATGAGCAACATCCAGGTGAGCAGCTTACACAGGCGACCAGTCTCTCTACCGGGGAGCTTGGCTGCGTGGATCATAGTTTCTTCAAGCAAGTCTAATGCACTCTGAAAACTCTGAAATAAATAATAGGAGACAGTGAAAGATCATGCACCCCAGTTTGTTTTACTCTAAGATTAACCACTCTACTTGCTAACCTAACCTAACCCATCAGGTAGTGCTAGGGTACTTAATCATTAGGTGAAATAAGCTGGGGGCCAAATGTTCATGAGATCCTACTGATAGACAGATAAATAACATATTTCAATACAGTATTTAGATTAATGGAGGATATTATTATTATTTATTAAAAAATTACGACCATATGTTTGACTTTATTTTTGTTCACTTCTGTAAACCTGTTCTTGGTTCAGTGTGTTGGCTGGCAGATGTCAACAACACCAATAACAATAAATATTCGCTCTCATTCATTTATTATTTCAGCAGCCTTACCACATGTGTTCTGTTATGGAGTTCTCTTGCACATGACCTTAAACTTTTATCTCGATGAGTAATCACTTCTTTATATCTTTATTATTTACTGTTAATACCATTATCATATTTCCTTATTCAAATGTTTCTATGTAATTTTTCACATCCATTAACCACTTGTGAATGGGGTCCCTTCTCTGCTGTAAAGAGTGTATTTTCCAGTCATAAAAAGAAGGTCATCAAGTTGTCTTACAAACCTTGGCCTGAGTAAGTTCTACAGCTTTGGCAATATACAGGAAGACGAGCTCTCTCTGGGGGGTCTGAGGCAGCTTCATAAGGGTGTTGTAGATGGGTATTGGCATCTCCCACTAAACAAAGATAAATAATAATAATAAATTCAGATTAAATGATCACCAAAAATTTACATTAAGAGCTGTAAATGGAAGCAATAGTAAAGATTACACTACAAGCATAAGACCAAATGTAACCTAACTTAACCTAACCCACCCTAACTGAACCCAACCTTAACGAATCTAACCAACTCGATCACAGGTAAGAGAATACAGCACCACATGATATTAAACTGTTATGAAGCCAGATGTACTATACAGTATACAATCAATCAATTAATTATTCAATCAATCAATCACTACATCAATTAATCACTCGATCAATCAATCACTCAAATAATCAATAACTCAATCAATCACGAGAGAGAGAGAGAGAGAGAGAGAGAGAGAGAGATCATGAGAGAGAGAGAGAGAGATCAATCACGAGAGAGAGAGAGGTAAAGGTAAAGAGTTGAAAATAGATTAACAAACAGAAGTCATAATTAATACATTGAAATAAATATGTACACTCACGCACCATAGTCTCGATGCATCCTCTACCCCTACTCCTGACTCGATGGAAGTCGTAGCCTTGGCTTCATACCGAACGTCCCCCCCCCACCCATCGTTCAGTGTTGCAATGTGGTAGCTCGAAGTTTCGCTAGGTTGTACGAATAACAGTTCATGATGTAATATTTGAGAGAATATATGCACGATACAGGTTTTTTAGTGACTTCACGACACTTTATTTGCCATCACTATACAGTTAACATCACTATACAAGAGGGACCGTTCGGTTTGCAGCCCCGACTATGACTTCCCTCGAGCCAGGAGTAGGGATAGAGGGTGCATCGAAACTATGGCGCGTGAGTGTACATCCATACCAACATTTCATATTTTAGACACATACTAGCAAGATCTAGTGAATAAATCTTTAATTTTCTAAGATAACTACAAGTGTACGTCATTCGTTTGGGTCATGACCTCCCACTACGTGATTAGAGACAAAACTGAACCATGTCTGTTTTAACTCATTGACTACTTGACTCAATAATCACATGTAATATAGACTCATTTCATAAAGTCGAAACTCTATCCAGATATTGCAGTGCTACTATAGCATGCAGTCTATAGAGGTATTTAGACTACAGCGCATTTACACTACAGCATAGCGTGTGGTCTGCAATTTGTCCAATGCTTCAGAATGTGTACTATCAAAATTTTCTTAGTAATTTACGATAGTATTTTTAGTATTTTAATATTTTTAAGTTAGGTTAGGTTAGGTTTGGATAGACTAAAGATATCTTGTAGACAGACATGCTATAGTAGCACAGATATTATGAACTACTGTAGATGAAGACAATAAAATCCTCACCTTCACATTAAGTTCTGGGATCTCTTTCTTGGGTATGTCAGGTCTGGGTGGCACTGTGCTCTTGTAGTGCATCACAGCACTCTTGAGTACCTCTGGGTTATAGGAGTGGATCAGGTCCCATATTATGTCATTGAGGTTGTTGGGATCTGTGGACCAAAGAAAAACAAGTACCCCTGTATATATACTTAATATCTGGTCATACAGTTTCAGCCTTAACCATTAAATGATGGCCATCGTCAGTGAAAGTTAGCTGTAGGGATGGTGGCCGTCATCAGCGGAAGTGACCATCATCAGCGGAAGTGACCATCATCAGTGGAAGTTAGCTGTAGGGACAGTGACCATCATCAGTGTGTCATGTTCCTTTTGTTCCATTTCTCCACACACAAACATATGGGGGCAGAGTAGGGTTAAGGTGGTGGTCAGCCATATTTCACCGGATTTACTGTTATTATTAGTGTTTACCAGTATAATAGTACTTAATACAGTGATATCTATGTTAGCTGGAACAATTGGTACAGAGCACTTCCGGGAATGAGAGATTTCAGGGTGACGAGACGACATTCTCAAAGCCAGAAAAAATCCCTCATCCCCGTAATTTTCGGGTAACGGAAAAATGTTCTAGGAAGTTCCAAAATGATGCATTATTTCATATCCCCTGTGGAACAAATCCCCAGTGTATAATGAAGACAGTGCAGGAGAAGAAACAATGCACCTAGACAGTGCGGGTAGTGTATACAGATACAAATATTGTACTGTATCTAAACAGTGAGCGTATACAAACAAAGGTAAACAGCACAGTACCCGTCATTGAAGCCTCAGGGGATTTCTTAATTAAGCTAACTCTTGATTCTTCGTACTGTGGCCACATTGTCAGCAGCTCCTGTTGTGAGATGAGAGCCTTGAGTGGAGGACACACTTTAATGGCAGGTACCAAAACTTCTCTGATGTTTGATGCCAAGTTGACGGTGAGCAGAAACATGCGTATCCGCTCCTTGTGTGTACTGTTGAGCTTGGAGAACTTAGCAACCAATGCCTGGAAAAATACAGTAGATATACATCACTCCAATAAAGAAAAAAAAAAAAAAATAATAATACTGTAATAATAATAATGTAGCTATGGAGCTGAGTAGAACCTCGATTCCATGAATTTAAAAAACAATGGACGCAATCTGCTGATCCTGAGGCGTCCGTCCGTATTGGGAATATTGGAATGAGACTGTTGTTTCGAGGAGTAGCCATCAGGTAGCAGTGGCGAGTCAGCACACAGCTGCTGATCAGCATCCCTTTCCCGCCTCCTCACACTCTATGTTTACGTGCACTCAGCATAAATGTGGTGTTGTTCTCGCAGAGTTGAACTTGATGTTGACTTCATAAGATAATTCTGTACTGTACAGTAATGTATAAAGTTAATACAAATTACTAACAATGGCCCCTAAAGAAAGTGGCGGTGTGAAAAGAAAGAGAGTGAATCTGACATTTACTAAAACACTTGAATTGATAAAGAAGCTGGAGTCTGGTGTTTCAGTTTCCTGTGTGTGGGAGGAGCATGGTGTCAAGAAACAAACAGTGTCAGATATTCACAAGAGCATGGAAAAGCTTACATCATTTGCATTACAGTATAGCATTGATGCTACAGAAACAAAAATTCATCAAGTGGTGCAAGGAAACATGTGAAAGTGGCACAATATAAAAATCTTGAAGAAGCGGTGTATAAGAGGTACGTTCAGCAACGGTCTTGCAGTGTTAACATTTGTGGCATTGAATTTCATGCTTCTGCACTTAACTCTAACCTAAATCACTAACCTGAATCAGAAACTGTACCCCAGGCTTGCCAGCTTGGGATAAAGAAATGGGATAACTGCTATTCCACAACTCTCCCTCTAGTACGTTTCTGATGGTGTTGAGCGTCTGCACCTGTAGGATTAACAGTACAAATACAGTAATATTAAATGGATAAAAACTAGCACTAATTAAGTAACTGGGAAAACAAGGCTATAAATATTAAATATATCTGTAAAGTAGTTTAACGAATAAAATGGAAAACTAAAAATAGGTACATAGAACAATTGTTACATATTATGGTTCAAAACTGTTCAAAGGCCCTGGCTAGCTCTTGCCAATCCTGTATATAGGTACATACAGCATATATAATCTTCAGCAGTGACAGTATCAAGATCAAACACTTTATTTAGTATCTGCACTTCAGCTAAAATTTTCCTAGTACTGTATGATATAGAGACAAGAAAAGAGAAGGAAGAATGAAAGAAAGAAAGGAATGAGTTAATGAAGGGTGTTGTGATAAATTAAAAAAAATATCACTGGGATGTTATAAATTACATAGACAGAACCTATAATATATCAGGGAAGAATGACTTAAGAAAATATGCTTACTCTATATACTCGAAATATATGAATGTATGATTAGAGGAACACTCAATACAGGGGGTTAGGTTAGGTGAGGCTAAGTTAGGTGAGGTTTGGTTAAGTGAAGTGAGGCGAGGCTATAGGTTAGGTTAGATTTAGGACACATACAAGTAGAATAACCGTAAGGAAATGTACAGGTGAGAAAAAACTGTAAATTGAATGAAAACATTGAGAAATTTCTTTTTTCATGCTCACAAATCCTCTCTCAACATGATGCTTTTTCTTAATAATAATAAAGCCAAGTCAGATAAGTGATGTTGTCATATCTATTCATCAGCTTCACCTTCATCTCAGCACACAACATCCCCACACCATACATCAACAACAAGTCCGGTTCCTAAAAAGCCAACTTGTTACCATAGTGGAAACAATGTATATCGGAGGCTCCTAATACCATACAAAACCAGGTAAAGTTAAAACACAATGTACCTGTAAAAGGAGTCCTTGTGGAGCCTTCTCAGGTTTAGCTTCCAGTTCAAGCTCAAGATTCTTCCTCAAGTATGAAGGTATCTCAAAGGCCACGTTATCATCAGAGAGAACCTTCACTAAATCCTGGAAGAGACAATACAGTTACGTACAGTATTTCTAAAGTTCAGGAATGGGCTGCTTTGCGATCGGGATGGGTTCCTGAAAAACTGATCGTTAAGTGATTTGATCGCTGAGCAAACAGAAATGAGAAATAATATCTTAAACAAGGGATAACGAGGAATAATATCTCTGGAGATGGCACCCAGTAGCACTCAGAGCTAGTGAGATTTGTTATTCTTCAACTCCTAATTTTGGGTAGATATACAGTACGTACTTTTCTTCATTTTCTTGTACACTGTTACATGCATACACTTTTGTTCATACATAATGTGCCCCCAAAAAATTTACAAAAATAATTATCATAAGGTCAAAAATACTCGAGCTTAAGAACATAATATACAGTATATACTGTATAAGGAAAAAACACTAACCTGATACCCATTACTAGCCGAGTACAGAAACCTATCGTAGAGTGATCGTTGCTCAGGGGGTGTCGAGCGACCACACAGGGATGCACAGCTCTTGTAGTACCCCCTCAGCTTGCTCTCGTTCACTTGGCAATATTCTGGATGTGACCCTATTTCCGGCAGGAGTTTACAGGCTTCGGAAAAGTGAGAAAACGCGTCTTCGTATCTCTCCTGCAGGAAGTGGTAGGCTCCCAGGTCACAGTGGATCTGGTGGGAGAATCATAGGGTTTTCATTATATGGGATCACATGAGGATTATAGGCACCCTAGCTTAGAGGATTATAGGGACCCTAGCTTAGAGGATTATAGGCACCCCAGCTTAGAGGATTATAGGCACCCCAGCCTAGAGGATTAAATGCACCCTAGCTTAGAATATTGTAGTCACCCCAGTTTAGGGGATTGCAGGCACCCCAGGTTAGGGGAATGTAGACACCCCGGATTATTTTAAACACACTAATACTAAATTGGGGCTTAGTGCAAGTTAAGTTAGAGTTGGTTAGGCCTGGTTAGGTTAGGTTAAGTGTGATTATATTTAGGCAAGATAAGATTAGGTTAGACTTCATTTGGTTAGGTTAGGTTTGATTAGATTTGGTTAGGTTCGGTTAGGTTTAATTTGGTTGAGTTGGTTAGATTATGTTTGATTAGGTTAGGGCGTCGAACCATCAGTTGAAATAAGAGTGGGTGACTTATCTTCATGAGATTCATTAAATGTTTAGCCAACAAATGGGACAAATTATGGCGAGTGAGGTAAAATAGCCATAAATCATAGTAACTGAGGTAAAATAGCCATAAATCATAGTAACTGAGGTAAAATAGGAGTAAATCATAGTAACCGAGGTAAAATAGAAGAAACAAAAGTAACACTGCCATTAAACTTTGATCATATAACAATACAGTGGTCAGATAACACCAAATATTTCTCCACACACCTGATACACTACACACCACACACCTGGCACACAACACACCACACTCCTGATACACTACACACCTGACACACAACACACCCAATACACTACACACCTGACACCACACACTTAACACACAACACACCACACACCTGATACACTACACATCTTACACACAACACACCACACACCTGACACTTGAACTGCTCATCAGCAACAGACTTGCAGCGGTCCCAGTTGTGACTAATGACGGAGCTCTGGTGAGTGTGCACGGTGAAGGTGGCCAACACTGGGGCACGAACCTGCAGGATGAGGAAACAAGGAAGGTTGGGTCTGATTATACAATGAGACGTGATGGTTGATGCCTGTAAATAACATTCTGCAGGACCAATAGGAAAAGTCTAAAGGTCCAAGCAGGTTTTGATGAGGTCAAGGAGCAAGAACCCCACGGCTTGTTAAACTATCGGGTAACTTATCTTTAAAACACAGTAAGTAAGTAAGGTTCTACTGACACTGCTTGGGAATTATGACATTATCTTACCTCTCCTGCTCCAAGTAACTGCTCGAGGATCCTGACCGACACTTCACCTCCTCTCTCCAGCACACTCAAGATGCCTTCTTGGACTTCACGAGACTCCTGTGTGGGGTCTTGCTGCCCAGGACTGAAATAAGTATATATATATATATAAAACAATATATAACACATACTTTAAGAAGATGGAAGAACCCAATTTTCAGTTTTACCACAAGACAGAGGTAAGGAAGGAAGAGTGGTTAGAGGAGTGTAGCGTGTATCAAGCACACAGGCGATGCCAAGTCAATCCAACTTAAAAAGGAACAAGGCAAGTAGGCTATGTGAGTTGGCTTAATGTACTTGCCCCCTCCCCCTCCCCCGAGATGCTAACATAGCCAGTACAGCACCTCTCAATTGGTCGCCGCTAAACACACCGAGACTTTCTATACTGAGCCAGATCAGCAACCCTCAAGTGTAAAACTACTGTATTCTGTGTTTCACTGTGGATCTGAACAACATTAATTAAGCAACTCGTAATGAAGTGCAGCTTATCTGGTGTTACTATTAAGATAATGTGCTTTACTCAATTGTGTGCTAGTATTAGGTAAATGTATTCATATCTGATATGTCACTGAATCTTTAGTTCCCTCTTACAAGATGATTATTTGTAATTGACATGGAAGGTTGAATTTCCTTTCTGGGCGATCATAGTGAGTACTGGCCAAAAAGAAGAACCACCAGAGGGCGAAGAACACCATCAAAATCATCACCGTTTTACTCCCATTTCCCATCACTGTTCTACTCCCATTTTCCACACTTCATGGGTTACCTGAAGGCATGGCATCTGAGGCTTGTACTAGCCTATTACCTTGAACATATCATTCACCAAAAAACACAACTCTTACATGGGAACATTAGAGACCTTGATGGGCTTGGCTGGTAACTTAGTCTGAACAAGGGCCCTGAGAGCATAGCGATGGTAGAGGGCCACACTGAACAGCTGGTACGGCAACAAGGGGCCAGTGTCCAGTGTCCCGTGAGTCGTTGGACTGCTCATATCCTCAAGTGTTTCGTGCAACAGTGCAACAAGGAGAGCATCTTGCATATGTAGAGGTAATCTGAAGAAATGAAGAAATAATTACTTATACAATAGAATACCATTATAATAAATATCTAAGATACCATTTCTCCTTCTAAGTGGAGTCCTCTCATCACTTTATGTCTCTGTCATATAAACTGTTATCCATGAATAAAGCTTAAACACATTGATCTTCAAGACATAACTGGAGGACCCAGACAAGCAACAGGAAGATCAAATTATCCAAATACTGTATGTTACACAGTACTGTTGTACATTTTACCTGTACACCTGTATTGTCTATATACAGACCGTATCAGTGCAAACTTATCTCTTATTATAATAACAGGGATGTGTTGATATAGGTAATGGGAAATGTTTGAGAGGAGCTGTAGGGTTACCTGACTGGATCTGGGCTTCACACCCAGATTTTTTTTTAAAGTTCTTGGCAAGTAGCACAAGAAAATAATAGGTAACGCTGTACATAAACAATGGATATGAACTAACCCCAAGAACCAGGAGTACATGATGACTTTATTGAATATCAATCTATCTATCTATCAATATATCTACCTGTCTCTATTTAGCAATCCTTTCATTCAGCTATCCATCCATCTATCAACGCACATTTAACTCTAAAAAGCGTACTTCTGTTCAAATATTTCCAGGTTCCAGTTGAGGTGAGCGGCAGTCTTGAGAGCCAGCACAGAGAGAGCGTTCTTCTTCTTGTTACTCTCCTGTGTCGACACGTCCATCGTCTCCACCTGTGAAAGTATTTTGGTTTAGATGATTAACCCTTCACTACTGGGATGCTACTTTTAATATTTTATTTTGCTAATACGTGAAGATTTTACTCAGCATGGAGGGAATCCCATACACAAGTGCTTAGGATTTACTTACAAAATTCCACTGTTACTAAAAATATTAACAATATAATCTCAGTTATCATATCTCAGTATTCATGGAATGATATTTACTTATAAAAATTCTACACTGCAATTACAATACTGTACAGTACAGTATAAGAATTTGAATAAAATGAGAATATATACCAGTATACTGTATACAGGTACTGTATACTGTATTGTATATCAGTATCAGTATTTGTGAAGATAATATTCACTTACAAAAATAAACCATTACTAAAATAATTAATCACAAATTAATAAAACACTAATTACTTAAAGCGGTTTAAATACATAATGAAGGCAGAGATGATCTATCATACATACAATCCCTGCACTTATGCCTGGTAAGTGGCTGTCGTGTTTTGCGGGATGTGGCAAATCTGTGTTTGTTTACATTGTATTTAAACTCCCGGAATGGCCTAAAGCAATGGTTCCCAAACACGGGGTAGCGTGCAGGACGCATCATAAAGGGTTACATAGTGGTCATGGGGTCGCTGGGATTGCATAGAGCTCATGGAGTCGCATGTGCTTTGCGGCGGTCAGACGTGTCAAGGACTTGATCCTCTAAAGGAGTGGCTGACAGGTGCACGCATCCTGCTATAAGTCACCGGTAGCTGAAAATAGTGAACACCAGACACTGCTTATGCACACTGCTGTCAGATGGCTCTCACGGGGAAAGACCCTGGAAAGGGTTTTCCTTCTTCGAAGTGAACTAGCAACATTCCTACAGGATCAGGGCCACAAGATTGCTCATTATTTTCGTGACCCCCACTTCCTTGCTCGCCTTGCACTTCTGATAGACGCGTTTGATCATGCCAATAAACTCAATACATACTGAACTTCAAGGAAATTGTAAATGGGTGTCTGATCTTCAGTGTGCAATAAGGGCTTTTGTCAGCAAACTGCAGATACTTCAAGAACAAGCTGAAGCTGACAATTTTTGTCTTTGCTTTCACTACTTGGAATTCACAGCTAAGATAGATGTTGATTTTGATGAAACACTAAATCTCACGGAGGAGAAACACGATTTGCTGGAATATTTACAGAACCTGACAGCAAACTTCAATGACAGATTCCCAGAGTTGCTTACAGTCTTTTGATTTTGTTCAGCTTACGTTTAAGACTGACATAAAACAGTGTGGCTTTTATGCTTTCAAAATGACAAAATTATTCGCTAGCAATGAGGCAAGGGTGAATTTTGACGTCTATGATGACAGCAAAATTTTGAATTACTTTATCAAAGAAACATTCAACAGTAAAAGTCGAGCTATCAAGGTTCTGGTACAATTTGGAACGACCTATGTCTGTAAGGCAGCTTTCTCGTCAACGGTGTTTATAAAAAATTATTACCATAACCGTATTTCAAACTCCAACTTAGAAAATTGGTTGCTATGTTGCTTAACTTCCTATACCCCCAGGTATAGAAAATTAATCATATGATGATGTGTACACTGTACATGTCAGATGTAAAATATGACATATTGCATACAACTTATCACAGAATTGTAACTTGAAAAAGTATGTTATTTTGTTTAATCACATATATAAACTCCCAGTAAATACAAAAAAATATACTTTATATTAAATGAGAATGCACACATGTCAAATATGAATTATGGCTGATGTGATTTGTATTAAAATTTAGTTAAATATTGCTGCACCTCAAAAAAGAAATATGACAGAATTGTAATGAAGAAATTGTGTGTTATTATGCTGCTTCACAATATAATTATGTATTCAGGCACAGTACAATAAATGGTGATATAAATATGTCACACATCAAACATGAGTTGTAACCTACTTCTGACAGTGTTTACTTTTACACTCCTCAGTAACGTACAGTAATACATTTTCCGTATCTGTTTCTACAATTACCGGTAAATATTTTTGTTATGAAAATATCTGTTCCAGGTATAAGTGCAGGCAACACAACACGACAAATACAAACCTCACTATTTCCTCCATCAGTTCTCTTGATGCTGTTGTAAATGAACTGGATGATGAGGCCAATTGGTGATGGCTCTGAAAAGGACAGACAGTGAGATTTAACTTACTTACAGTATCTGTTTCCTACAGTCCTGTTGGTGTAGGTCAGTGGGTCATGCAGAACATAAACCTCTAAGTAAGGGACTATAATAGTATGGGAGATTTAAACTTGTACAAGAAAAGAAAAGATTAAAAAATCAGTCAAATTTATTGTCATTATCATATTTCAGTAACTTCCGAGTGACTAAATATTATGAATCATTCAAAATATTGGATAATAAATCTACCCATCAGCAGGAATAAGAGGTGCAGAGCAGTTCCAAGTTTGAGAGATTTCTGGTTATGGAGATGAATTTCTCTTCCCCCCCAAAATTGCACATCTCCAGAATTTTCCAGGTACCTGTACTAGTGAAAGTTTTCCGAATGTCTAAACTAAGCATCTCGCATGAAGCGATTTAACCCCAGTCGGACAGACGGAAATCTGAATTTATGTAAACACCACTGTATATGTACATTAGCTAAAACAACTACCTGTGCAGGTGGGGGTCGATATGCCTTCATGTACCAAAATTTGTCGTCCATGGTCTCATAATGTTTCCCACAAAGTATGCACAGATAGTTGTTTCAGCTACTGTACAATATATTGTAAATAAATAAAGTATACTACAGAACTACTGTACTGTACAGTATACACTGTACAGTACTGACCAGCAGATGCTGCTGTCTTGAGCTTGTGATGCAGGCATGCCAAATGGTGATATGATATACTTTTCAGCCTTTCATGGGGTACATAGTCGAAAGCCTTGGCAAAATCTAGGTAAATATTGTCGATATTACCGCCCTTATTTCTAAGCAGTACATTTAATAAAAAAAATTTCACTTTTTTACATCATGAATCTTTAACCCCTCCATTACAAAGATGTAATTTTTAATATTTTATTTGGCTAACAATTTTATTCGGCTCAGAGGAAACCCCATACAAAAGGGGTTAACCAGTAGCGAGGGCTTCCCCAATCTTACCCCACATACACAAACATGGAACCCAGGAAACACAAAATGTGCAATGGCGATGGCTGCTGTCCCTACTGCTAATGTCTACTGACTTTGGCCACAGTTTAAGGGACAATACTATATAACTACAGTACTGCACCTTCTTAATATGACTAACTCCCTACTGTACAACTACAGTATACAGTAATATCTCCGTTATCCAGAATCCCTCAAACCTGGCACTCTCCGACAGCCAGAATCAAAATTTTCTCGGATAATCGTTCCCAAAGCCGGAATTTTTAGGACAATTCTGGCTTTGGGAACGATTTTCAAAGGAGTACATTTTCCGGAAAATTCAGAGAAAATTTTCCCGATGCCCGGAATATTCCGGGGATGGGGGAGTTTTTCCGGGTTTCAGAGACGAAAATCAAGCACATTTCCAGAAATTCAGAGAAAATTTTCCCGAGCTCGAGCGATGATGTAATGGACAATTTCTGGAACTTACAAGAACCCTTTTCCATTACCCAGAAAATTCTGGGGATAAGGGATTTTTTCCGGCTTTGAGGGTCATCTCGTTACCCGGAAATCTCTCATTCCCGGAAGTGCTCTGCACCAATTGTTCCGGCTAACGGAGGTATCACTATTAACATTACAGGATTAACTCACCGGGATTGGCTTGGTTCAGATGGGATTCCAGCAATGTAGGATTTAACAGAAACTCAAACCAAGCAACTGTGTCTGATGCCATGATGATTTCTGAGCATCTGTGGAGAATATCACCATGTCAAAAATGGAATTAATACCCAGGAGAGAACATCCTGTACATTAATACATTTATGTCAGTGTAAAGGTAGTGGTCCATCCACAGACTTGTAAATATGTGTGTTGTCAGGATAAAGAAGAGAGATCTAATGTTCGCTGAAGTTTATTTTTTTTTTACGGGGAGTGGCCCACCCGGGCACAGGTCATTGACTCACATCAGGGCCTAGGGGGCAAAAATGTTAAAATAATAATAATAATAATTAATAAAGATTATAATAAAAAATAAAATACAATAATAATAAAAATATTGAAGGTGGATGGCAAACGATAATTTTACCAAATAATCTATCATCTCTTTTAACACAAAAATGAATACCTGTATCTATATTCTATATATTTTCAAATCTTGGTAAATTTGTACTTTTGGACATAAGTCCCTAGAGGTTGACCAACATGTTTTTCCAGTGTATTTTGGTGTGTTTTAAACGAGTCTTACCTTCATTTATGGCGGAAACTGCTCGTTTTAGCCCCACCCCGACCCCCCAACAATAATGGGGGAGGGCCGGGGGAAACTGGGGTTTTGGGTGGGGGAGAACGAGTCATCTAACCTAACACACCTAACCTTACAACTTAACGTAACCTAACCTAACATAACCTCACCACCGGTAGGCCTAGCTTAAACTAACCTAACCTATCTTATTTATCTCCAACTAGTAATAAATGAAGCTCAATAGTCTGGTAATATAACCTGACATAACGTATAGACAACTCTTTCTTTCCTTCACCTTCACATACCTCCTTGACCACTGGTGATTGTCCTTTCTAAATTTACAAGGGAATTTATAGTACGGCCACTCAACAGACGTAGTTAGAACAAGGTGATTAACAGTAAACTACACCATTAAAGTACTTAACGTAAACAACTCTATACCAAACAGAGACAGCGAGAAGGACCGATTGTCTGCCGCCCTAATCTGAGGATATATAAGTGGTTAATATATAGCATTAACCCGTATATATAGACAGACATATATAAGATAGACATATATAAGATAAATATAGATAGATCGATACATACACAATAACTTTTTTGGCGACGGTCTGACTAATTACCCAAATGTAGCCGCAATGAAGTTAAATAATGGTCCTACATGAATAAATCGGACTGCTAATTACTTCTCGATTATTATTTGGTGTCATAAAGTCACATAAAAATTGGTAAACTTAATTTAATCTGAGTTGTGTTGTATTAGGTTAGGTTAGGTACATGCACTCGATCTATTAACTCAAATTAAATTACGTTTCCATTTTTTTTTTACTTTGTGACATTAAATACTAGTCGAGAAGTGATTGGTAACCCGATTTATTCATGTAGGACCATTATTTGACTTCATTGCGGCTACATTTGGGTAATTAGTCAAACCCTTTGGCGATTGAGACCTCTTTTTGGAGGATGGAAAATTTGTTTCAGATTCTTGTATAAAAGAAATGATTTACACTAAGACAGCATAAGGCTTGCTTTTACTTTTATCCTCTTCGCCACTGATCGGCTCGTTAGCCGCCCGAGCGATCGGTCACGTCTCTGTCACGCACTGTTGGCAAATACTGGGCTTGCACCGGCTCCTGAATGTACCTGAACCCGCTCCAGTGTTGGTCAAGTCTGGTCTTGAAAGAGCTCACACTCGGTGCCGTCACAACACTCTCTGGTAGATTGTTCCAAGAGTTTACAACTCTCACTCCGAAAAAGTTTGCCCTCACAGTTTTCTGGACTTGCGGCTTCTTCAATCTTGAGCTGTGACCCCTTGTGGGGCGAGCGTCCGCCAGCTCCAAGTAAGGACACTCAACTGAGTAGTGCCCCCTGAGATGCTTATACACCTCAACTAGGTCCCCCCTTGCCCGTCTATAGTATAAGCTAGGCAAGTTTAGGCGCTCCAGTCTCTCAGGGTAGCTGAGGTGCCGAAGTGCAGGCACCAGTCTGTTGGCCCTTCTTTGAACATTTTCAACCAACTGACAGTCCCTAGCATATCTCGGGGACCAGATGGGGAAGCACTTCACTCTTGAAGATCGTTACGAGGGACGGACCGTCTAGATATCTGAATGACCTTCTTATAAGACCCAATAATTTATTTGCCTGATTTACCTTCTTCTCGCAATGGCCCGAGAACTTCAGCTCATTGTCAACATACACACCTAGGTCCTTTTCACATACAGTCTCAACTAGCGCAGTTTCTTCATCCCGTTGGGACATATGATACGCCTCCTTACCGTTGGTAAGCTTTCAACATCACTCACAAAGGATCTTGTATGCTTTAACTGTAATCAAACGTATCTAAGTTGACTCAAAACAATGGTGTTTTCTCTCACATTCAAATTCATTTTATAGAGAGGTTGGTTTCAGTAAGTCAGAGAAAATGAGATTCGGAGGACAGAGGCGTCTTGAACGATGAGAAAACGGACTTCTCAGATGGGGGACTCAAAAGAAGGCAGAGCTACATGTTTTGTGGGCTATTGAGCGCAATATGAATCGTCTGATTTTGCGTTAACTGACGCGTATGACCGTGGTCATTACAAGGACACTCGACTGAGTAGTGTCCCTTGAGATGCTTATACACCTCAATTAGATCACCCCTTGCCCGTCTGTAGTATAAGCTAGGCAATTTCAGGAGCTCCAATCTCTCAGGGTAGCTGAGGTGCCGAAGTGCAGGCACCAGTTTGGTGGCCCTCCTTTGAATATTTTCAACCAACTGACAGTCCCTAGCATATCTCGGGGACCAGATGGGGTGACAGTACTCCAGATGGGGAAGCACTTCACTCTTGAAGATCGTTACAAGGGAAGGACCATCTAGATATCTGAACGACCTTCTTATAAGACCCAATAATTTATTTGCCTGATTTACCTTCTTCTCTCAATGGCCCGAGAACTTCAGCTCATTGTCAACATACACACCTAGGTCCTTCTCACATTCAGTCTCAACTAGTGCAGTTTCTTCATCCCGTTGGGACATATGATACGCCTCCTTACCGTTGGTACGTCCCAGGTGCATCCTCTTACACTTCGTGACATTGAATCTCAGCAGCCATTTCTTCGACGATTCTTGGAGCCCACAGAGGTCCTTCTGCAGCTCTTCACATTCCGCTTGGTTCCTGATTTCCCGAAATAACTTGGCGTCATCGGCAAACATTTGTATAGAGGAGTCTGCAACGTCAGGCATGTCATTTATGAAACAAACAAACAACAGCGGCCCAATGCACTGCCCTGTGGAACCCCACTTGTTACAGGTACGGATGATGATTTCGTACCATTAATCACCACACACTGCTTGCAGTCATGTAGACATTTCCCCGAATTCCGTACCCTTCCAGTTTGATTTTCAGCCTTTCGTGAGGTACACTGTCGAAAGCCTTGGCAAAATCTAGGTAAATATTGTCGATATTGCCACCCCGCTCCAGAATATGGGTCCAAATATCCAATACCTTGAGCAATAATTGTGTTAAGCAGGAGCGCCCCGGCATAAAACCGTGTTGGCAATTTTACAAGCTTGTTTCGTAGTAGATGTTCCATTGCGGCATCTCTGATAATACTCAAGTACTATACATATTATGATGGTCAGTCTCACCGGTCTATAGTTGTTCGTGGAGTGACGATAGCTCTTCTTGAAGATAGGACTCACATAAGCCACTTTACATTCACTGGGGACCTTTTGTTCATCCAGGCATTTACAAAACAGGATCTTCAGGGGCTCGGCAAGCTCATTGCACAACTCTCTTAGCACTCTAGGATGCACCATGTCAAGGCCGGGACTCTTATGGACCTTTAGCCTGGACAGTTTATTTCTAATACCCTCTTCTGTGAACACAATGCATCACTGTACCACTGTCTTGTTCACAACAGATGGACCGTCCACCGGCCTGAATCACTTCCGAATCATGCTTCTACACACTGCTGATGTCGTCAACCACCACCAGCTATCACACCTCATGCACACTCTAGAACAGGCGTGGCAGGTGAGTGATAGGTAGAATGAATGGATGAATGAGAGAGAGAGAGAGAGAGAGAGAGAGAGAGAGAGAGAGAGAGAGAGAGAGAGAGACATAATCTTCCCCACATGTGTATCATACGTCATCTTCCCAAGGTATATGATCTGTATAACTTCATGGACCCGAAGCGCCTGGAAGACGGCAATGAATGGCTGCAGGAGATGATACACGAAGAAGAAGGAACCAAAGTGATCTTGGTATTGTCACCTCAAATGGTATCACATATTTCTACTATATTGAATCCCGACGTTGGTAAGTTTAATCTAAATGTTTATCTATACTTATCTACCTTCTTGTTTACTCTTATCTACCTTCTTGTTTACTCTTATCTACCTTCTTGTTTACTCTTATCTACCCTCTTGTTTACTCTTATCTACCCTCTTGTTTACTCTTATCTACCATCTTGTTTACTCTTATCTACCTTCTTGTCTACCCTTTATCTACCTTCTTGTCTACTTTCTCTACCTTATTGTTTACTCTTATCTACCTTCTTGTTTACTCTTATCTACCTTCTTTTTTACTCTTATCTACCCTCTTGTTTACTCTTATCTACCTTCTTGTCTACCATTTATCTACCTTCTTGTCTATCTTATTTACCTCTTCATCCACCTTATTTATCTCCTCACAACTTTATCTACTTCATTCTACTTTATCTACCTTTATTAGCCGATACCTTGTTTGTTTTTTCACTTGTAAACAACTCTAGTGTTTAGTTTTTTACCTATAAACAAATTTGTGTTCAGCTCCAAGCCTTAGTGATGGTCAGTTCAAAACTGATAATATGTTACATAAATTTATTTGTCAGTGGCCCAAGTTTAAAAATGCTTTGAAAACCTTTGATCTAGATGTATGATAGTTATTTTGTGGGTCCCTTTTTTCTGACCTGACTTGGCTAGTCACGTCACCACCCTTCTCTTAAGCTCCTCTACGTGTGTGTTGGTGTGGGGATTAGTGGATGTCATCATTTTGACCTGACCTCATGTTTTTAGGTCACCCTGTATATTTAAGCCTCTCTCTGTCCATGTAATCCAGTTGCCTCTGAAGATGTCTTGAATAAAGACGAAAGCTAAGGTACTCCGTTGTTTCCATTTTCCAGTGTGATTTTATCAAGAATTATCTTATCCACGTTTTCATTGTGGATTTACATGAAATATATATATATATATATATATATATATATATATATATATATATATATATATATATATATATATATATATATATATATATATATATATATATATATATCCACACACAAATGCATACGGCACCTATGTATACACGGATAAATATGTGATTGTGTGTATGTGTGTGTGTGTGTGTGTAAGGAAGAACAAGAACAAGAACAAGGAGGAGGAGGAGCAGGAAAAAGAAGACGATGATGAGCCACCAAGACCGGCCCAGGGTCTGGCTGGCTCTACAAACATGACAGGGATTCCCCGGCACACCCACCACCACCTTGACCTTGATACACACACACACACACACACACACACACACACACACACACACCTACATGCATACATACGAGCAAAATTAATTTATTGAATGCTGACTGGCAGCAAAGTACCAAAATAAATCTAAGACCTTCAATTAACGCTAACAACATGCTATACACTGCAGAGGTTAAGTTGCCATAGTTGTGCAGACTGCATAGGTGATTTGCCATAGTTATACACTGCAGAGGTAAGTTGCCATAGATATACACTGCAGAGGTAAGTTGCCATAGATATACACTGCAGAGGTAAGTTGCCATAGATATACACTGCAGAGGTAAGTTGCCATAGTTATACACTGCAGAGGTAAGTTGCCATAGTTATACCCTGTAAAGGTAAGTTGGCATAGTTATACACTGCAGAGGTAAGTTGCCATAGATATACACTGCAGAGGTA